TCGAAGGCAATTTGAAGGCCACGTGACACGATTAAAAGCAACTCAGAGGCCACATGATATGATTCAGAGGCAATTTGGAGACAATTCGAGGGGCACATGACGCAATTATAGGCAATTCAGAGACCACATGATATGATTCAAAGGCTATTCGGAGGCTACGTGACTCGATTCGAAGGCAATTCGGCAATTCCGTCGACCTTTAGCCTCTTCATAGCAGTAAATTACATAGGCGTAGCACTAGCACATGGAAATTCACAGCAACCCGAAATTCGGCATTTCCGGGAGAGATTACTGTATTTGAACTTCGCACAAGTTCTACGATAATACAGTAAATTCTCCCTAATTGACGCTTGTAATCAAGACTCGATTAATCGTATCTCCTCTTGCCAAATAGTCCATTTATGTAAGCGTTAATTAGGGAGCTTAGCGTCAATTAAAAAGAATTTACAGTGTACGCTTGGACAGAAAAGTTCGTTTACAAATTTCTCGTAGAAACAATTTAGCGATACCTTTCGCAGCATTTTTCTTGCAGCATTCGTGTTTCAATTGTAATATAAAAAATGTAATATAAACAATGCTATTAAGCAGTTAAACTGGAATTTTCTCCGGCACTGTGTGGGTTACGTTTGATCCTTTTTCAACGAATGTCCACTAATTCTTGCATCGTTTTTCAAATCTTTTACGAAGACCGCAAATTTTATTTATACAGCCGACTGTGAAAAAAGAGTCTGCAAAATCTGAATCCACGCGATACAATTAATTGTCCGAATTCTTTCTCGTGGGAATTATTTATTCGTCACAATGCTCTCGGAGGTATTAGAAAGTGCGCTTCAAAGTGCTACATATTATCGTGTAGCCTGCGGTGAAGTCACCGATTCCAAATATAAATCTCCCGTTAACATTCCATATCGGTGTAGCAAACCAATTTTCGCAGCAATTAAATACGGCATAGTTCGTCGGCGGCCACCGTTCCGTCGGAGCCGCCTATCAGTTTTTCACCTTGATTTTCTTTTCTAAGAATACAACCAAGGCTTTCGCGTGGCTGCTCGATAATGAAATCAAACTGCTGCGCACTGCCAATGTGTCAATGATGAAATCCTTGACATTCTCCCGCGACCTTCTGTCGGCACACGGGGTTCTCCGTTTTATAGTTAGTCGCCGCCGTTGAGGCGCCCCGTTCCCATAGTTTTTTCCAACGAGAAACGGTCGGAGGTGAAAAGAAAAAACTTCGCAATCGTTTCTCGCTGGCTCGTCGTTAGCTCCCGTTAGCGCGTATAAGGTGTTTCGTAATCTTGCAACATTCGAACCGCGTCGAAAGAATCCATAGTATAACGTTGTATGTACATCGAATTCGCTAAAATTGATTTCGTACTCGAGAAGATTGCGTTCGAATGATTTGTCGACGAATTGTGAATAAAATTTGATTTGAATAATATTTGATTCGAATAGAATTTGAATCGAATACAATTTGAATCGAATAAAACTTGATTCGAATGCAATTTGAATCGAATACAATTTGAATCGAATAAAACTTGATTCGAATGCAATTTGAATCGAATAAAACTTGAATCGAATAAAACTTGAATCGAATAAAACTTGAATCGAATAAAACTTGAATCGAATAAAACTTGAATCGAATAAAACATGAATCGAAATAAAATTGTATTCGAATAAAATATGTCCGGCTCTGCAGCGAGCGATGACTCACCGGGAAGTGACTTTGAACTGTCAATACAAACGAGACCATTTTCCTCCAAGCAGTTCCATCGGCAAAAGCTTGTTACCAACGATAAATTCAAGATAGACTCCGGAAGGTCACGGAAATTGGTAAAATGACCGAAGAAGTTCCTCGTGACTCGAACCAATACGTTCGAAAAGCGAATATTTCCATTTCCAAGCCGCGTGCCGCGGAAAAAGACCGCGTTCGAGACCGTTTAAAATATTAAAACTTATTTAGAAAGTTGTACCATGTTTGGGCGCCGCTGAAAACGATCCCGTTTTATGTTCATTAACCTACTTTCGAAATAGCTTCCTAAAATTCCTAATAATAGTACGGTTTCTAAAACAGGCCCCCGCCAATATATTTGGCACCCGATCAATATATTATATAGGCCGTTCGTGTTCCGCATATTTGATACACGACGAGGCCGCCCATGTCTAATAATTTCTATTAGATAAGCAACGGGTTATGTCAGATCGGTCTATTTTCTAGTTCGCCCTTCGAAAATAGTTTAGTCCGAATATCGTTTCCCTTGGCTCGAGACATTTCCCTGCGGATTTTCGTGCCCACAATGCGAATAACAATTGCATTTTACGGAGCTCCGCCGCGAACGACGAATATTTGCTCGGAGCCTGTTTCTAAAATTACGCGAGACATAGGATAAGTGCGGGTATTACCGCGGACGCCCCAAATACTGCGGTATTTTTTCAAAGCAATAGAATCTAACATTTTATAGCGTGCAATCTTCTGGAAATGAATCTCACGATTTCTTGTGTGTTTAATATCGATAATTTATGACGTGCAAGTAACAGCAATCGCAGTTTTAATTCGTTCGTTGACTTTCGATATTCGGAAGCTTATGAAAACGTCGAGTCTTACGAAACGGGTCCGTGCTTTCCATGGAATCTGTACCTTCAGAGATCCGATATTTTGGGAAAAGTAAATGTTCGAGTTCAAGAATAATAGGCGTAGCTCGAGCTGTCAATTTATCGGCGTAAAAGGTCTCGTCTTCTCCGTCGATGTTCGCCTTCGCTGAGAAACTGCAGTAATACCTGCACTCACCCTGGTGCAGCGACGATTCCTGCCGCAAACGACCGAAACGGGCCGGCGGTCCTCGCGGCGAGAATCATTTAGGTCGTGCAATTGCCGCGGTCTAAATAATCCGTGCCTCTCCGCTCGTAAATTATCCACCGGCCAACAGCAAGGATTATTTAGGCCAGAGCCCGGTTCCTAAGACTCGAACAATGCAATTAACCTCTTAACTGTTCCCTCGGTAAGAACGTTGCCCGGTACACGACGAATTCGTCGCGCCTTCGACGAAACGGGGAATATCATCGGAACAGAATTTGAAACGCGTTTACAGTTACACCGGTCTGTCTCTTCTTCCCTGTCCCGTGTGTAAAACTTCACGAAGTCGCACATTTATTTGAATTTCCCGAGTCATGTTTCATTTTATCGCTGGACTTTAGCACAGCATTCTAGTGTTCCATCAACGTTTCGCAACTCGAGAATACCTATTAAATAACTCGTTCGTTAATAGGTCAATTCCTTTTTATACGAGAGCTATTACCGTTCTTTTGTTTTCCTTGTATATGTATGCTTCGCACGCATTAAATCCTCGGTCTAATGCCATAAACTCGACGAAGAAATGAGGGGCCCATTAATGCGCTCGATTAATCCGTTTGCACTCGGCGGACGTAATTACGGTGCTGCGGGGATTATCAATTTCTATTACGCAAAGTATCGATACGCTTTTTTTTGTGCCACACAAATTCTACTCGAAAAAACAGGACGATCGTTCGAGTTGTGGAAAATTCTCTCTGATATTTTCTGTATTACGACGAGTGCACTCGTAACGAACAAAAACATCGAATAACATTTTGTTCGAAGAATTTATTCGGAATATTTTGTCGAATAAAATGTTATTCGCAAATTTATTCCAAATTTTGTTCGAAGAATTTATTCGAAATATTTGTCGAATAAAATATTATTCGAAATATTTGTCGTATAAAATATTATTCGAAAAATTCGAATCAAATTTTATTCGGTTAATGCGTCCAACCTCGACGGAGTCGAAACGATTGACTTCGAAGGATGAATTTCTCAGAACCGATTTCAAGAAATCGAACATGATACATTCGTCGATGTACCAAATAATCGAGAAATCACAGTGAACGAAACCAGGCTCGCGGTTGCGCAATCGGTTACACGACGGTCAACACGGATTATTCGAAATAAAAGATTCAGAGCGTGTCCTGCGATCGTGTCTGGGCTTTCTTTCACGGGGAAAGTAAAAGTGCTCCTCCGTTCGGTGCCAAGGTGAGATTCACGGTGAAACTTATCGCGGGTGTCCTTCGCGGTTTGTCTACCCGTGTCCTCGCCGATGCACAATGGCCCGCATCGTAGGACTTCGACGACGTTTCGCCGATAAATCAACACACTCGCATCGGATCCGCATGGAATCGCGCGTTGCTTCGTGGACGATCGTTAAACTTCGGCTCGGGGAAATCGAAACGCTTTAACCGTGATTAAATTCTTCGGTATTTTATTTATTTATTTATTGGTTATTACAATGTGATATTATTACAATTGTTATTTGGACCTGTTACAATTATCATTTAGATCTGTTACAATTATTTGGACCGGTTACAATTATCGTTTAGATCTGTTACAATTATTTGGACCTGTTGCAATTACCATTTAGATCTGTTACAATTACGTTGTGCCGCGGATATAAGCCTCCGGTTGATTGCGAGCCCGTCACTTCTCTGTCTGCACTTAGTTAGTTGCAACATTACCATCCGGGACAGCGAGATTTAACGAAACTGCAGAGTTTCGTCACAGTTTCTAATAACGTTGTTCAACCTCTCTCTGTAATCTGCAAACGAAAAGTTTCTCGCGCAGTCACGAAAATTAAATTACACCTCGGACTACTACTAAATTACACCTCGAAGCATCGAAAGAATTGCTTTTCGCGATTCTTCGGCGGTACGCGAACTTGCAATGCTTTTCTGATCCGCCGAGGAATCGAGGATAGATACGCGAACTATCGTGCACAGGTTTTACCGGGGAATCCGAGTTTATCGGAATATTAATGAATTCCAGGTCTTCGGTGACTTCGCTTTTAAAAAGCAGCGCGATCGACCACGGGAATCCCGACCACGTTGTATCTTGTTTACCCGCTCGAATCCATTCCCGGAATATTCCTCTATCTCTCACCTGTCCTCGATCGAATCGATTTGCGTCACCGATTAAACAGCTGTTCCCTTCTCTGTTTCAGTTGTGACCCATCAAAACAACATGTCTGTCACCACGTCCGTGCAGCCTGCCACCGAGAGCCTCTCTCGCCATGGGTAAGCATCGCTTTCTTCGTTACGCGAAAATTAGGCGAAATTTCTCGTAGTTCGCCATTTCATCGCAATTAAGTATCTTCATCAAAATTCGAGTACATTTGTCAGAGGACATTCTTCCCAATTCGATTACGATTTCTTCTGTTCCATTCAATTGTTCCAGAAATTAATTAGGCGGATAATTATCGGCGGATCTTTAGGCAAAAAATTTCTTCGATTACAAGAACTAAGAGCTAAATACGGAAAATTAATTAGGCGGACAATTAATGATCGGCGGATCTTTAGGTAAAATAAAATTTCGATTACAAGATCTAAGAGCTAAATACAGCAAATTAATTAGGCGGACAATTAATGATCGGTGGATCTCCAGGCAAAAGAAAATTTCTTCGATTACAAGATCTAAGAGCTAAATACGGAAAATTAATTAGGCGGACAATTAATGATCGGCGGATCTTTAAGCAAAATAAAATTTCGATTACAAGAACTAGAAACTAAATACAGCAAATTCTCCCTAATTGACCCGCAGTTTCGGAACAAAAGTGGACAATTTGGGAACAGGAGACACGATTATTCGAGCCTTGCATCTCATTTTTATAGTTAATAATAATCTCGTTTTTATAAAAGCGAGGCTCGAGCAATCGTATCCTTCTCTTCCCAAATCGTTAATTTTCGTTTAAAAGCCGAAGAACAATTGGGGAGAATTTATTGTAATAAATTCTGGAACATGATTCGAGCGTGTTCCGAGTAGCAGCTTAGAATTCCTTAGCGTTTCCTGCGTCGAGCACCGATTTCCGACCAGCCGATCGCGTGGTGATCGTGTTCGATCCTTCGACGAGAGATCGATTGTTAACTGATATTATCATGCGGAATATAGTTTCGGGAAGAGAAAGTGTGGAAGCACGCGGAGTCCTTTCGGCACATTCCTTGCGTTCACTGATCACGAGATACGATCTGGCATTTATCGGGACTGGAACTGAATCGGATAAAGAGGGTTTCTTTTCGTGTCTTTCTCTCTTACTTTCGATTTGTGTTCAAAGGTTTCTGTTCGTTCTCGTTGGCGAACGGTGAAACTGCTGTAAACTTATAGCTCTTTTTTTTTCTTTTGTTTTTTCCGTTCGGGATTATTATGGATTGCTTTTCATTGGAGACGATAATTTACGATATTAATTTACGGTGAAATAATTGCGGTAAAACGATATTACGATAATTTACGATAAAATTAATTACAATATTAATTTACGGTAATACGACGAGGTGTCATGTGGACTCGCGATGTTGTTGAATGATCTAGAAGATTTACAGTATGGATTTGAGGGCTCCTCAAAATGTTCCATTCGTCTGCTAACGTGTTAATAAAAATAATAAAACATTGAGATTATATATCGTATTACCTATAATATATAATACTAATTAATAATATATGTATTTATATTAATAACCTCTTATTTATAATAATTATATATTATATATTATAATAATATATAATTATAATATTAATATAATATATAATTATATATTATATATTATTTATAATAATATATAATACTAATTAATAATATTAATATATATATAATATGTATAATAATATATATCCGATATTTAATGTAACTTTTATCGTATTTTGAAAATGAAACAAGTAATATATAATGTTGATCATTAAGATTTTATTTTGGTCATTTTCTACGTTATTTTTTATTATTTGTCTCACAACCCCACAGTGTTATTTACGCCGAAAAATAGAAGGGGATCGTTCTAGAGTTAAGTATCCAGTCGATTAAACCGTTTAGAAACTCTCGGATGAAGATATTAGCTGAATGAAAAGGTTTCTCGTAATTGTACTCGAAACGGTTCTGGAAATTACGATAAAACACACTTACAAATATCGTAATAAACACAATTACGAGTAATCCGTAAATATAGATTACGATCGTGAGACTGAGTGTTTGAACGTACACTCCAATCTTTCTCGCGAACTATTAATCACTGAGATTAGCGCCACGACACACCGAGTGTTTGAACGCTGATATAATGCACCGTCATAAAGATCTATTGCGTTCGAAAATGAATTGTCTAAAAGACCAACGATGGTGTAATCCAGTCGATTTGTGTAATCGATTTCAAATTTGTTCATCGAGACGTTGTCGACTCGGCAATATTTTACAACATCTGGGCGCAAGAAGAGACCAGTCGTCGGTGCGTTAAAATATGTGGCATCGTTAAAAATCGTTAAAAATCGTTAAAAATCCTCGGAAAGTGTCGCGAGTGGTCGTTCGAGAAGCACGGAATTACGCGAAGAGCGCCGCGAAGGACAGCGCGATCGTCGACGAGCCCGCGCGCGCGACTGCGATCGATGTATAAATACGAAAAGGATCTATGATTCGCTTAAAAATAGAGACGCGGCTTTGCGGTCGTCGAAGCGAGACAGCGTTTAATAAGGAAATTAGCGTATTCCGTTTCGTTACGGCACGATAGAAGCCGGCACCTAATCGGCGCGGCGCGGCGCGTCGGCGTGACTCATTTTCCACTGGAATTCTGTTTAATATCTCGCGCGCGTTCGCGAGTCACCAACGAACGGGTTTCGCCGAAATCGACGAGAGCCTGTGCTCTGCCACTCTCGTCGATCTATTTTCATCGCGGCGTCCAATTTACTCGCGAGAACCATAAAAGACCGCAATGGTGATTGCAACTCGGGGCTGCGGCATCCGCGGTTCTCCAATACGCATGCGGATATAAATGTACATATCAATATGATATACACGGTGTTCCTGTATTCCCGAGGTGATTCGAAGCAACTTTTTCCTTAGCGAAAATCCAATCCGCGGCTTCGTTTACGAGTTATCAACGAAAAACCGTGACCCAATCGCAGAGCGAGCGCGGCCAGTGCTCCGCCCTTCCGGCCAATGCCGCGTCGCGCCGGCCGTCTGACGCGGCGACAGTGGTCGCGAGGGCGGGGCGCCAGCCGTACGCGATCTCTCGTTGGCCAGCGTTTTTCGTTACTAACTCGTAAACGAAGCTCCGGATCGCATTTTCGCTAAGGAAGAAGTTACTTAGAATCACCCCAGGAATCATCCCGTCCCGGCTGTTAACATAATCGTGGAACACCCTGTATGTTCGGAACGATTAGATTCGGAGAGACACGCGCGAACCTGGCCGGCTAGCGGAATTATTCTTAGTGCCGCATTATTCGTGGAAGTCACGTCGCTTTTGCATAATCCGGACACATGGCTGTGTGGCGCCTCTGTGCGCGCTCGTTACGCCACTGCGCCTGAGAAAACACGAAGGACGAGTTCGAAGGCGGATGCTTATGCCAGATTCGTTCCGATATTATTGTTCCGCGGATCTACGGCGATCGTGGGGATCGCTGCATTGTTCGAGCTCTTAATAGCCAGACGGAAACGTTCAGGCGCGAGAACTTTTCGGCTGATGCGGGATCATTAGATGACTCAGGATCGGGATTGCTGCGAGAGGAAATCGACAAGTTCAGAATTGCTAGGAAATCGTTGACCGAATTGCACTCGATCGAATGCGCGATTCGTCGCTGTAATTATGCAACGTCGAGAAATAAATTTGTTGGTTCGATTGAGTGAACGAATTCGCTTAATTCACTTATAATATTATAATAATATAATATGATATCATATAATATAGTATAATATAAAATATGATATCATATAATATAGTATAATATAAAATATGATATAATATAATATAGCATAATATAAAATATGATATAATATAATATAGTATAATATAAAATATGATACAATAAAATATTATAACAATTCACTTTGAATCTTCACGCAAGATAAAGAGTTATTCGTCGAAATTATTTGCTTATATCATAGAATCGTCGAATCGTTCACACATTTCTGAACGAAAGTGACTCGTCGGAGAAAACGCGTTCTACTTAAAACGTGTTCTACTAAAAACGTGTTCTACTTTGAAACGTGTCAGAATTTGTTGAAACGCATAGTGCATCCTGGGAACCGGTCTGGTTACATTTCATTCGAACATTTATGGAGTGCGAAACATTTGATCTTCGGGTCGCTGAACAGTCCGCGTCTTCGTTATTGTATGCTAATCCGCATCGGTGAATTACGAATGACCAATATCTCGGGTCCACGTGTGGTCTCTCGCGTCCACGGATTACGTACTCGACGACAGTCGTAAAAGCATAAAACGCGTTCTCAGCATCGACTAAAATTCAGCCACTGAAATTCCCACAAATTCGAAGCAATTCAATCGATCGAACCGTAACTAGAAAGTTGAAATTTATCAGAGCGGATGACACGGGAACTCTTTCGCGTCCGAAACATCCTAGTCGGACTCGGTTTGTTCGAATCTATATTACAATGAAAATATGTATGAAAGTATGTTCAAAATTGGTCGAAAATTAGCGTCGCTTATGTGCGATCGACGCGACGCTCGAGGTGTTAAAAAAGAGAGAGCAACCGGCGAAAGTAGTCGAGCCGGCAAAAAATCGAAGCTTCGAACATGTATTTTGAATCGCAAGGACGACGACGCGGGAATGATTTCGAGATCATTCGTGGCAGAGACAGACATCTCGAGAGTCTGAGATACTTTCAGCGTTCGCGGACTCTCTGGACGCGGCGATCTGGAATATCAAGGGGAGGATCTCGAGCATATTCGATCGTCGGTTGTCGATGGTCTCTTAGAAAGTTACGAGAGCTCGAAAGGCTTTTAAAAGCCGAGCGGAATCTGAAAAGTTGCTAAGCGTTTTACTTCGCGGGACCTTCTCCTCTCGGTGTGTGCGCGCACGGCTCGCAAAAAGAGCGGCGCGAGAAGCGAAAGAAACACGCGGCGCATTAAATCTCTCTTCTCTTCGTTAATTGTTCTCGCCGTAAAAGGCCGCCCCTGGACGAACGAACGAACGACGACGACGACGAATCCGAACTTTCTAGTCCGCGACGTCCCTTCGGCTCGAAAGGATGAAATCGCGGTGCTCTCCTCCTCGCGAGGCGTTTTAAATCAAAACCTCGATA